GGCGCCGACCCGGCGGCAGCGGCAGATCCCTGCAACTGGCATAACAAAGGCTGTATGAATGTACAGAGATTATCGGCTGATCGTTTTGTACCTATAAACAGAGGTTAAGTTGTGTATTGACAAAAATGTTGGTTCGTTCCCACGAAAACTTGTGTCTGTGTGATGTTTAATTAATTGCGGGGCAGTCTGCCTTCGTTGGTATGGTTGACTATTGCAATAGACTTCCATTATCTCATTGTTCCTTGGACAATCACACTTCTTGGAAAGTATAGTGTTAGTGTTAAAGTATAGTGGAACAACCGGCGTAGAAGTAGAAAGGTGAAGAAGTAGGCTATTGAGGTAGATTATACAGAAAGTCACCGATATTGACAATACGGAGTTGACAGTACCGTGGAGCTAGTAAAAAGCTTTAATTGTAGTCAATGACTGTACCGAATATTGAATATTAATATCGTGAATATTTACGATGTACATGTACGTGTATACACTTACATCATTTCCTTGGCTGCAACTTTAATGCCTCAAACTAAGCGCTAAGGTAATATGAAATTCAGCGCACGATCCTACCATGTCGCCAGCACCGTGGAACAAATCCAATGACGAATTATCTTCACTCACTTTCTGTCCCACAAAATATAATAGACAGTCGCAACAATAAAGAAGCAAGCAATCATGTACTGGCAATAACCACTCTCTTTAAATGTTACAGTGGCTGTCTTAGTTACAAACTTTGCAGTAAAGGTTGAAAAACCAGTTGAAAACCAGTTGAAAGTTATAAGCACGCCCATTGTCAGCGTCCAGTTGCATGAACTTCCATGCAAAAATCTAGTTTATAACAAAAATAATAGCAAGATTAAAGGTAAGACTCTTATCCTACTGAGTGAAAAATAGATGTTGGTTCATGGGATTGAAAAAATACGAAAGTCGAAAAAAATGAAAAACATTAGTACCGTAAGAATTTTACTAACCATCTTGCTCACGAAGGTAAACACTGTTAATTAAGTTTAGCCAAGCTCTGTTGTATGGGCTGATGACAGCCGTGAACTGGTTACATGTACATAGATACTCTAATATCAACGAGTCGCAAACGATCTGTGTTCTGAGTAACATATTGAGAGCACAATTCTAAATGCACAATTTACATCTAAGTAAACACTGTGTAACACTGGAAAGGCTAAACAAGGAACAGTTGTTGTTTTAAATAATCGGGGGTGTTAAATTTAGCTGCAGTTTTTCAGTCGCTGAGTTAGGCATTAATTTTGTGGGGTTTTTTGGTGAGCCTGTGTGCGTCGGTTGAATGCTTTCCTGTGCATGTTTCGTTACGATCAGTGCTGATCAATGCATGTGAAACTCTTCCAGTCAAAGCAGTTGCAAGCCAGAAAAAATCCCGCCGCAAGACAAGTCACAAGACGCCCAGCCGCGCGTCACAGAGTCAACCGTGACAAAGGAATGCTTTTGTTATGAAAGGTTGGCAGCTCCAATTAACATCAGAGATCATGTGCTGCTCTTGCGATTGTCTTACAGGCTGTCGACTGCGGCATTATATAATGACAAATAGTATGAGGGACTTCGTCCCACTGGCCTTCAATTTTGCAGACTGAACAAAGCACATGCGTCTCTCAATTTCTGAATTGGTCAGAGTTGAGAAAAATAATGTTTTCTTCTCCGTTTTCTGTAAGATTCGTGATAGAATTCAGTATCTTTATGATGGAGCATGGAGAACCTCCATGGATGGAGTAGGCACAAAGCTATCATTCTCTTTGACAGTTGCAAGGCCAAAGGCAAGAAAAAACGTAGCATTGTTTCGGAAACATCCGCTTAAAAAGACAAAAAAGCGTTAAAATACTAAACAGAAGGTGTGGGCCTACAAAGGCTAATCCAGACACAGTCAGGCCCCCCATTATGGTATTGGCGGCTGGTCCAGTACCATAGGTTGAAAGTGACATCAGTCAACAATTCTAACGCTGTCGAGTTTTTAAGTATTTAGCTCATGATTATGTAGATTTTGCGAAAAATGGACTGAAATGAAGGCTTAAAGTGAGCGTTAAGTTTTCCGTATACAGAAGAAATGCAACTGAAACACATGCGTCTCTCAATTTCTAAATCTGTCAGAGATGTCAGAGATGCATCAGCAATGTAGTAAAAGGAATTCAAATCCTTGCAGGAAAGATGCTACTTTAACACACGCCTAAACCTTTGGAGGTATTGGTTCCTGGCTAGGATAGCCCTGTTGGGGGGCATAGCCCTGTTGGGGGGCATAGCCCTGTTGGGGGGCATAGCCCTG